GTGAAATCCAAATCAAGTCAAAAGTGTAGTTGATACTACTACACCAACGTTAATTTTTTAGTTTGACAAATGCACCATGGTTATGTAAGGTGTTAACATTGGGAGAATCTGGGTGAGGTGTATATGGGAACTCTGTACTACCTTTGCAACTTTTCTGTTAATTTACAGTTATTCTAAAATAAAGAGTTTACTTTAAAAATGAGGAGGAAACCTGGCCGGTGTGGCTCAGTTGGTTGAGCATCTTCCATGCACCAGGAGGCCACTGGTTCAGTTCCAGGCCAAGGCACATGCCCAGGCTGCAGGCTTGGTCCTGGGTGGGATTCATGCAGGAGGCAGCCGATATATGTTTCTCTTTCTCTCCCCCTCTCCCTTTCTCTCTCTGAAATCAATAAAAACATATTTAAAAAAAATTTAATGAGGAACATATTCTAGACAAAGACAGAAGTAAGAAAACCTCTGGTGTGTGGTTGGGCAGCTGGTAGGAGACCGAAGAGATGGAGAGGTTCTTTCATACAGGGTGGGGACAAAAGTAGGTTTATAGTTGTGAGTATGCAAAACAGTTTATTCCTCTATTATTATTCACTAACTCTTGTATTATTTCCCATACAGACAACTGTAACCCCACCCTGTATTCCAGAGCATGCATTTTGATGCAGGAAAAGGCAGGATTTAGGTCTTGTAGGTTCTCTTCTATAAGGTGGCCATATAATATATCATCTGAACTGGGACACTTTGGAGCATGAAAGTGGGTGCTCGGCATACAGGAGGCTGGGACGACACAAGCATAAGCTGGGACTGTCCTAGGCAAACTGGACATGTGATCGCCGTGTTTATATGCCATGATAGGAGGGATAAGACTTGCTTTTGAGAGCAACATTCTCCACAATGAATATTTTGAAGGTCCTTCCAGTCATTAAGTATAAAAACGGTCTACAGTCAAATACATTCAGAACATACTCGGCTAAAGAAAGTTATACTTGTTTCTTTACTGATCAGCTTCTCAGAGCCTTTAATTTTACAAATGTGACTATGAAACTTCAAGAACGTATCATATCATGGTTTCCCAAACCTTTCTACAGTAATGCCCTTCTCTGTTTCCGCCCTCCAACCTACACAACCCTTCACCCTGCTCAGCCCAAGCACGTTCATTTTTAAGGAGTACCTTTGGGGGTATGCTGCAACGATGGGGGACGCATGAAGCCCGGAGTGAGGTTTTCAGATTTGTGCTTCAAACACTTAGTGGTGGCTTTGAGGATAACAAAGTGGAATAGAACCGGAGGTAGAGATGCCAGTGAGGAGTGTCGCAGTGGATTGGGATGAAAACAGTGAGGGGCCGAGAGAATAAGGCACGAATCTGCACTATTTAGGAGGTAAAATTAGAAACAATCATCCACGTCAGGTTTCTATGGGATACCTATCTCTTACCTCTATGTTTAAAAGTCAGAGCAACATCTGGTTGGTGATTGGCATATTCCTAGGCACTTGGTGGTGTTAGAAAGCAAGCCGACTGCAGAGGGGGCTGGGAGGTGCTTAAAAGTAGGTAGCAAAACAGAACAAACTCTTGTTTATTAGATATTAATTTATGCTGCCTTTTAATCCAACACAGATTTCTTAAAATAGTTGTGGTTTTGTATTATAAATAAAAAACAGACTTTCACAAGTCAACCTGTACCTCTCTTTTATCAATGCATTTCTTGTCTTGTGTTTTCTTTCTTGTGTCTTTTACCTCTCTGGCTTTCCCATAAGATCACATGGTGGTCACTTAAAAATATTTTCAGTTTGGTGACTATTAAATAAACAATTATTTCCTTCCATTCACTAGAATTGCTACTCCAAACACTGGAGATAGAACAGTGGAGAGTACCTCATCCTACATGCCAGAGGTTATTTCAGTGGTACTTATTTCAATAAGGACATAATAAATAGCCAGGTAACTCCCACTCAAGGACTTAAACCTGATTGTCCTTCAAAATCTTCCCAAGAAAACTGAAAACCCCCAAATGCCTAGCTTTGAAAAATCCAAATTCCAAGCCTTCAGACATAGGTATCTCCCTCAAATGTACAGAATTGGGGAAAGTGGGGGGACATGAAATAATCGCTGGTTAAATCAGCAGAATTTTTGCGTCCTGCCGGGTTCAAGGCACCAGGCTGAATTTCACCGAGAAGCAGGCAGATGCTCAGATGGGATACGATAAATGTCAGGAACTCACTCATCTTCCCTGCCTCTGTTTTGCAGGCATACCTAAACCACACACATTTTTTTTTTTCCCCCATTTGAATACAAAGGAGTGGAATCTTATTCTTAGTTTTCAAAAGACCTAGAAGGAATCTTCTCATAACATATTTTAAAACACGAGAAATTGGAAGGAGTCCAAGAGGAGGATTCACACAGCTGAGCTTTCTTCCCATTCTGTCCGTAATAGCAGGATAACCTGAAGAGGATACATAGTCTCAGGTTCATTGCGTTTTCCCCATCTCCAGCTCAGGGTTCTGTTAAAGGTAACATGAAAGGATGTTTGGAGAATGCCCCAGACCTACGTAGATGTACATTCTTTGCATGATCGTTTCTTGAATGAGGGAAATGCCTCTTTGTAAATTCACCAGCCACTTCTTAATTCTCAAGTCCAATGCTCAAGTTTCAGTTCTTAATTTACTTGAACTTCTTGTGACATGTAATATCATACATCACTACCTCTTTTTGAAATGTTTTTCTTTAGTTTAAATTTTCCTGGGTTATTTACTATTTCTCTGATTACTTCTTTTCAGGGTTTTTTTCCCCCTCTCTACCCTCCTTAAACATAGAAAATTCATAACATTCCATCCTTAGAATTAATGAGTTCATCTTTTTCCATAGCTCCAACCTCACATTTTCAAGTGCTTGTAATACATTGAACATCTCAAACTGGATATCACTTCCTCAGAATATTAAAATATAACATGTCCAACATTAAACTCATTGTCACTTTGTTCCCTCATTTCAACACCTTCAAACTTGGCTCTCAGCTACACTGTGTTCAGCTCAACTTCATATATCCTGAGAGTAGGTGTAATCTCTAATTGATTTCCAAGTCTTCTTAAATATTTTTCAAAGCAGTCCACACATCTTCTCCAATGCATTTACCTTAGTGCAGTCCTTCAACATTTCTGATATTGGGGAGATTCTTATTGCAACAGCTTCCTAAATGGTCGTAAACTCTCTCTCTCTCTCTCTCCCTCTCCCTCTCTCTCCTCAATGTTATTTCCCCCACTTCTCCAGCTTTCTTCATTGCATGGAATTATGAGCACATCATACCCTTACTTATAATCCTTTAATAGTTTAACTCCTATCTGATACTCACTTAACATCCTATAAACTGCACCTGCCTTTCCAGTCTCATGGCCTTCCAACCCACTCAGTAGGCTTCATCTGAATAAAATTACACAGTGAAACCTAAGAGTTTGCACTTGCCTATGGTTTTAAAATTTTTTATGAGCTCTTCCTTTTGCCTTTCCCACTTTGCCTTCCTTGTGAACTCTCACACACCTTTCAAGATTCTGTTAACGCTTCCCCTTTGGAATGGGTCCCTGGCTCCACCATAAGGCATCCTCATCTCTGGGATTCCACGGTGCTATGTACAAATCTTGATTATAGCACTTCTTACAGTGTCCTGGGAAGGATTTTGCTCACTGAGCTCCTTGAGGGAAAATGCAATACCCTAGTCATCTTAACTATCTGCAGTGCTCAGCACAGTACCTGACATATGACAGGTTTTCAATGAATATTTGCTGAATGAGTGATATGGTAGGAAGTACTCATGATTCTGAATTAAGTCTGTGCTGCTCATAATCATTTCAGTGATTTTGATTAACTTTCTTTTGGTTTCAGTTTCTTTAACATGTGAAATAAGGAAATAGAGCTAGATCTTCTATAAGACCCTCTCCAGCTTTAAAACTCTATGGTTGACACTATTGTCTATTATTGAGGTTGAAACATATTTTATCTGATCACAGAATGTTTGATAAAATTTAAGAATATTGAAAAAAATGAGAGATTTCACATAAAAGTCTGAATTTCCATTATATCTTGACAAAGCAGATAATTTGACTATATTGGGCCAACATCCCTAAAAGTCTACAATCAGCTCTAGCTGATTAGATGGAATGTGTGCTTCTACTTGGCCAGTGTGCCCACCTCTCCCTATTGCTCCCTCTTTATAGGTACAGGGTATCAGTACTGCTTATTATCACACTTGCACTGTAGTTTTCATCAATAAAGATGAGAAATAGAAAATGTTATTGCTCCCATTTCTTTGTTAAAAGTAGAAAATGAAAGATAAACCAAGAGGTCCTTGTGTTTCTTATTCCTGGCTGACTTTATTTATGTACTTAAGTATATGTGTGCATAGCACCAAACAACCTAGAATTTGCTCAGGTGGTACCAATTCAAAATATTTTGGATTTTTTTTCTTTTCCACCTAAGTGCTTCTGGACTTTTGATGTCTGAGGATCCTTTCAGGAGATAATGTTTCCTTAATCTAAGCAAAGGCCAAGCCCATCTACCTTCTAATTAATTTGGTGAGGTATTTCTTTCACCTGAAGAAAGTGATGATTTTTATGTAACGATTACATTATGTTTGAACATTTATTGTTAGAAGATCCTCTGCTTTTTTCAAACCCTGTGCAAAATATGCCCTGCACTTCAAGGATGTTTAGAATCACTTGTATGCTATGAAGACTTGCCTACTAAATGAACATACGGGGGTGACTCTTATTTCATTGTTCCTGCTAGGATTGGTAATTTGTGTTTGTATTTCTTACTGAAACTGTGAAAAAGGTCAACTGCAGAGTCAAGGGTTAGGAAACAAGGCAGGCATGAGCTGAGGGGAGGGCTGAAGACCTGAGTCTAGGGAGGCCAGCATCACCAGTTAAGGAAGACAGCTGTTCTCCATTTCCTTCTCCTGTCTTTTTTTTTTTTTTTTGCAAGCAAGCTAAGGCGTTCACCATCAGGCCCCCCAAAATACCTCCCTTGCAATTTTGCTGATCCCTCCATTCCTAAGCTTGGAACCAGAGAAAGCGGGAGACGACCGCTGTCACTCGGCCCCGCGGTCCAATGGGAGGAAGGTAGGCCCGCCTCCTTCTTGAGCTGTACTGCGAGCATGCGCAGTGGGCGTTCCATCGCCAACACCCACCTGCTGAGAATTGTAGCTGGCGGGGCTCAGGCGGGCGGTGGGGTCCTGTGGCCGGAGGAGGAGGAGGTGGAGTAGGTGGAAGACGAGGAGGTGGAGGTAAGACGAGCACAGGGAGGGGGATCCCTGGCCGGACCCCGGAGGCGCGATGTCCCTGCAGCTGCCGCGCCTCCTTGTTTATGCGCGTCGTTGGGAGGCCGTCCTGCGCTTTGCTGCAGGCTCGGGAGGGGAGGGCGGCTTCCCAGCTCCGGGAGCGCCGGCCGCGCCCACGCCCCCTGGCCCGCTGCGGGCGAGACGCGCGGCCCGCGGCCCGGCCAGTCGCACCGGGCGGGTGTCGGCAGCCTCGCCGCCTCCCCGGCTGCCCCGGGCCGCGCTCACTCAGGCGCACCGGCGGGCTGCGCGCACCGGGGCGGGACGGGCCCCCGAGCCCTCCCCGGCCAGCGCCGGAATCCAGCTTCTGCCTCGGTCGGGACACGAATTGACCTCTTCCTCTTTTTAGCCCATTGATTTAGAAAACACATTTTCGAGCTCTCCTTTCGGACATAGAAGAACTGAAAATACAGGGCTGTTGTAAAGGAACCGTATCCGTTTATTCAGAGGCTCATTGTGTTCGATTTTCTATTTGCCTTGATGAAAGCTAACTTCCTTGATCTTCTCAGTACACGTCATTCATTGGTTTATTTAAAGACCTTTAAAAATACATAAAATATTTCAAGATGCGGCCCCTCTCTTGTTTCTAGGTTGATACTTTCTTTAAATTCAGACTTAAAAAATGTAACGTTGCTTTTCTGGTCAGATGCTGTAATTTTCTCTCTTAAGTTTCTTGCATTTGCCTGGCTCCTGTATACATATATTAATTTTGCTTTAAATCCCATCAGTGTATTCTGACTATTACTATATATAATTTAAACCTTGTACAGAATCTGGAAGAAAAGGAAATGATTTTGAAATGCTGTTCTGTTTAGTAATGTTGGAGGTGGACGTCTCCTCTGGAGGTAGCCTGAGCCTCAGAGGACATAAACTGACAATCTGATAACCGTGCTAAACTGTCCTCTTCTTTACAGGCCACTTTGAGTAGTTTGTCTCAAACTTGTGGCTAGTTAAGAATTATGCTGTAGTTTCAAAGTTTCTGTTGAAGTTAATATGATACTATATTAACTGACTAAGGTCTACATCATTTTTCTTCAGATAGTTTACTTATGCTGCTCCCAGTAACAAAGCCAAACCAAAAGTTTGGGTTAGGATACCAAACTTCACCAAAGTGCTGGTGGTTGAAAAATATATAGAACATATGCAGTAAGTCTGAGTAACGTTTGCTGTGATTCCATTTAATTTGGAAGTTTAATGTTTGAAAGGGTGAAAAATAATCCTTGGCAATGTGAACTACAACCAAATACTGTAATAGTTGAACCGATGGAAGAGTTGGGCTAAAGAAGGAGGTTAATTCCTCATATATATATATTCCAGAGATAGAGATAGGTATTAAACAAGATACTAACTAGATCATTTGAAGTGATTAGCACTATGATGCAGTAAGTTAGAGAAATCATTGGATTGTCGCAGGGGTGGTGACTTCTCACTTCAGATCCCAGCAGTCACTGAAGGCTTCTCCAGCATGTGACAAGATGATGCTGGGAAAAAAGGAGCCAGTCACATGGAGATCATGGGAGAAGTCTTTTAGGGATAGAAAATGGACCCAAGCACAGGCCCAAGCAATAAGCCTCAGATGTTCAGGATCTGAAAGAAGGCACTGGAATTCAGTCTTAGAAATAGTGACATTTACGCTCAAACTGGTTGTGTTTTCTTAGGAAATAGGCACATTTATTTACTTATTCTACAAATTTTTATTAAGCACCTATTATATAGCCAGGTACTGAGAATAGAGCAGTCTATAAAAAAAGACCACCTGCCCCCCATTAACTGGTTTATATAAAGACCTTTAAAAATATATAAAATATTTTAAGATGCTTCTTCTTCTTGCTTTTTAGGTTGTTACTTTCTTTAAAATCAGACATGAAGGGCCCAACCAGTGGAGCGCAGTGGTTGAGCATTAACCCATGCAGCTAGAGGTCACTGGTTGAATTCCCAGTCAGGGCCCATGCCCAGGTTGTGGGCTTGATCCCCAGTAGGGGGCGTGCAGGAAGCAGCCAATCTATGTTCTCTCTCATCCATGTTTCTGTCTCTCTCTCTCCCTTCCTCTTTCTAAAATCAATAAAGAAAAATATTTAAATTAAAAGAAATCAGACATGAAGGGGGAAAAATTGCCTTTTTTTGTCAAATGCTATATTTTGACAAATACATTTTTGCATTTGGGGACATGGGGTAAAGAGAAATCCAGTGCTTTATGTTAATGCTCACAATTAAGAAAATTAAACTGACTGTTTCTAATGCTTTGCCCATGCCCAGAAGCTTAGTGTCTTGTCCAAGATAGAGATTTCTGGTTGCCAGTTCCACTGGCAGCTGAAAAAGAAATCGGTGAGTTCCTGTAGCTTCAAAGACCATGTAGACACTAATCAGTTAAGAGTATGACTTGTGAGACTCATTTCTATATGGGTGTGTTGGTGTATGTGGATGGAGGAGCCCTCCCCCACTGCCCAAGAGAGTAGAAGAGAGTACATAAATAAGAAAAAGGAACATTTCCTCATTCACTGTGTTTGTGTTGGCTATGAGCCAGTTTTTCTAGAGATCTAGTTGATTGAAGGAAAGGAAAAAGAAAGATATCATTGAACCAGGAGAAAATTGTCTCTACTCATGTCATAGAATATTATTTGGCTATAAAAGGTATGAAGTATTGATTCATATGGATGGACCTTGAAAACATGCTGAAAGAAGCTAGTCATAACAGAACAGATATTGTCTGATTCCATTCATATGAAATATACAGAGTAGACAAACCTATGAAGACATAAAGTGAATTAGTGGTTGCCAACAACTGGGGAGGTTAGAGAGCGGGGTGGGGGGGGCCCGGGGCATGAGTTTTATTTTTAGGGTAATGAAATGTTCTAAATGTGATGTGGTGGTGGTTGCACAACTTGGTGAATATTTTAACACACTGTTGCACACTTTAAATGGGTAAATCACGTGATATGTGAATTATCTCAATAAAGCTCTTACTGAAAAAAAAAAAAAATAGACGAGAATTTCAAGATCCAGTTGGTGGCTTGTGAGAGGCTGAGTCTCATTGAATCCCCAGCCTCAGTCTTGTTCTGTCTGGGCCCCAGTGCTTCAGCTCCCTGCAGGCCCTGCCCAGGGCTACCAGGAAGGATGTTTATTCCTGCTACCCTGCTGCAGTGGTTGTGCTCTCTGAGTTGAGGTTGTAGTTTGCCCTTTTATGAAATTGGTTTTGGGTGTATCTCTAGGAATTGGTGAGGTCCAGAGGGCCCAGATTAGATAAGTTGGACCCATGGATCAATGAAAAAGAATAGAGAGCATCTAAAAGCTCCCAGGAGCTCCAGGGTGGCCAGACACATGCCAGAATTTCAGGCACAGAACCAGTACTGTTGTAGCCTTCTCAACAGTTGAGAAGCTGTCTACTTGCCGGCACTGACCCTTAGAACAAAGACACACATTTCCTTGTGGCCTCTTCTCCCCTACCAGAAATCTCCAGTGGTTTTGTTCTTTTTTCTTCTTCTTCTTTATTGATTTTAGAGAGAGAGGAAGGGAGAGGGAAAGAGAGATAGAAACATCGATGGGAGAGAACATCAGTTGGCTGTTTCCTGCATGCCCCACACTGAGGATCGGGCCCACAACCTGGGCATGTGTCCCGACTGGGAATCGAACCGGTGACCTCTTGGTGCATGGGTCAATGCTCAACCACTGAGCCACACCGGCTGGGCTCCAGTGGTTTCTTATCACAACACATTCAAACTAAACCTAATGTCTAGGGCCCGCCCTCTTCTGTGACTTCAGTTTGTTTTTTTGTTTTTTAATCTTCACCCGAGGACATTTTTGCATTTTTTGTTCAGATAGAGTGGGAAGGAGAGAGAGAGAGAGAGAGAGAGAGAGAGAGAGAGAGAGAGAGAAACATTGACCTGAAAGGGACACATCGAGTGGCTGCCTCCCACACAACCAAACCAGGGCCGGGGACAAACTGCAACCGAGGTATGTATCCTTAGCGGGAACCGAACCCAGGTCTCTCTGGACCACCGGCCAGTGCTCTAACCGCTGAGCCAAACTGGCCAGGGCTTCTGTGACTTTAGTTTTTTGTGGTAGCTGAGCATGGGTAGCTTTGGAACCAGAACCCTGGGATTGAATCCATCTCCATGTGGTGGATGGGCTAGGAGACCTTTATAGTTGCTTCAGCTTTATAAACCACAGTTTGCTCATTGTTAAAACAAGGTGTATTTGCTACTACCTACTTTAAAGGGGATATTTTTTGAAAATTGAATTAGACAATCTATGTGAAATGCTTTTCATTTCACAGATGTGCAGTAAATGTTAGGTCATCTTCTCTTTTTCTTTTGGTGTTGTCTCCCCCTTGCCCCAGCCATGAAGCATCTGACTTGGAGTTGACCAGGAACTTCTCCTTCCTTTGGCAAATGACACAGTGTGTTTGGCCTGTCCACATGTTCTGGGCCTACCCACTCCAGGCTTGATTGTGTTGCCTTTGTTGTTTTCCATACCAGTCATACCCAGGTATCCAAATCTTAGGCTTCTGTTTCATGAATTCTTTCTAGATAAGAGTAATAGTGATATATTTTTTTCATAGTCTCTATCAGTATTGACCTTTTTTTACTGCTTTGTATTGCTTTTGTTGTTTTACATTATTAACTTGATCCTTTCTCTACTAAAAGACAAATTTGACTTGAGCAGATACTTTACCATTGTTGTTTTATTTGCTTACAGTTCTCAGGTTCTTCTTTCAATGCTGGTCCGATAGCAGACTCGTAGTAGAGAGTTGGCCTACAGCTTGACCACCCACAACTCTGGCATTCAGCACACACTCAGTGGAAAGATGGTGTAGGAGTAGTGGGAATTCTTTGTTGTGCACAGTCCTGCACATAGGGCACCCCTTTTCATTCTTTCTTCTCAAACTCTGAATGGTGTGGTATGGACGGAGGAAGGAAAGAACTTCGTCTTACCTCCTTACTATAGCAGCATGCCGGCTTAGCTTCCTGTCCTAATGCTGGTCCCCAGAAGACGAGAGCTGTCTTGCTCTCTCAGGAAGGTGTGTGCATGGTGAGCATCCTGGTCCCCAGAAGACGAGAGCTGTCTTGCTCTCTCAGGAAGGTGTGTGCATGGTGAGCATCCTACAGCGCATTCCCTTTTACCTTACTCGTCGGCTTTGCTCTTTCCAATTTGACCTTTCTCCTTTTTGATCTCTAAAATTAGAGATGCATTAATCATTTGTTCCCGAGCTCTTCCTATGTGTGGTAAATTAGATCTGGTAATGCCTTTCCTCAGATTGCCTGAAGTCTGTATTCCGTTGAATGAATACTTACATATCTGTTCTGTGCCAGGAATTGTTTTAAATGTCGGAGAAAGATAAATAGTAAGTGGGCCCTGCCGTATAATTGCTCACATTTTAGTTAAAGACAAAAATATATAAACAATTAACATTGTATTCAGTAAAGGGACTTGATAACTCTTGGAGAAATCAGAGAAGTTCAAAGGGAATGTATAATTTGAACCTTACCCTATTTAACATGTTTAACTTGACTCTGTCCTTTAAAGTTTATGTTTTGTTTTTGTTTTTTGTTTGTTTTTTTATAGACATAGGAGTTATGCTATTTGCTGTGTCTGTTTGATAGATTTTAACCCTGTTAGGTTAATCAGGTTTGTACTTGTAACCTCCCAAATTGACAGTTTGGAAACTGTAAGCCAGTAATTTTGAAAATACAATCATGCGACTTTTATGTTATGTAGGTAACTGCTTAGAAGACTGCACAGTCCACCAGCGTCTGATGAAATTAGTGACTCAGAGAATCAGCCATGTCTTACACGCCAGGAACTATTGGTGACCCCACTCAGCTGGCCCAGCGTATCTCTGCCAACATCCAGAAGATCACACAATGTTGTGAGTTGAGTTTTAAATTGACTTCATTGTTTGTTTTCAGTTCTTAGCTGAACTTGGTGGAGATTAATAAAAGGACAACTACTATTGATTGAGAGAGGGAGGAGCATTCTTTTAAGAACAGATCTCAAGGGGCTGGAATTCTTTAGAATGAATTTAAGAAATAATTATGTATAGAAGAGATAACACTTAACTGAACTAAAGATTTTAAAAAGTAGATACCTATATTTGCTTTATGATTATCTGATTCTAGATGAGATTAGTGACACTCATTGGCCAAATCTCACAGGTTTGGAACTGGGCAATACTGTCAAGTTTTTAAGGAATGTATCTTTATATAAAAAAATATCTGACTGAATATGGTTTAGGTTAAGTTTGTAAAGGGTAAACATGTGGTATGCTATTCAGGAGCAGGGAAGAACTACGGAGGAAACATTTTTATCTGTTGAGGCAGGTATAGAAGAGAACTATCTGGATTCTCCACAGACTCCTTTCTATACTTGTCGAAGATGGACTGTTAGTACGCTGGTCCAGTGTGGCATTTTATTAGAAATTATTACTCCTTAAAATATACATAGGACTGGAAAAAAATCACTATAGCAGATTTGAGCCTATAGATTTTTTTGTTGTTGTTGGGGTGGGGATTATTCTTTGTTTCTGAATCACAGCTAATCACATACCTGGATGATTCTAGTCATCTTGCTGTCAGTATTTTTGCCATCTGGGAATTACCTGGGCAGTACTTTTTCAGATGTTAGTACTGTGTCATCTTTAGCCTACTTTGCTAAGGCTGCTCGTTTTACCAGAATGTTAACCACTGCAGAAGTCAGGACTGTTTCCAGATGACCAAACTGTGTGTCTTTAATCATTAACTTCCCAATAATTATTACTCTACGTGAATGATTTAAATGAGATGTCAGTGTGTTTTGGGTCAGAGGGAGTAAAATTAGATTACAAATGGTTCTAAAAAAGTGCCCCTGTGCACAGCTGGGTAGAATAACACGGACTCTGATTTGGATTAATTCTTGTTGTATTTGGCTGTTCTCAGAGGAGCAGGGACGTGAACAGTGCAGAGGTGTCAGGTTGTCCAGAGCAGAGACTGTTGGGATGGTACATCAAGGACTGTTCCAGGTCACCGGCATTGTCTCCACCTTGTTCTTTCTGATTAGTCAGTTGTCTTCTCCTCTGTGTGGCTTCTCTGATGCTGGTTGGAACACGTACTGGTCCGCCTCAGGCTACCTGTGGGAAAATTAAGAGAGTTCATCATTTTAATTTACATGTGTGGGAAACCAGGACCTTTGTGTAAGAAAGGGGGCCAGGAGGCCTTTCTCCAAAGAATGGAGCAGGCATCCTCAAGCTAAACGGTGCCAAGACTTCTGGAAAGAAGGAGAAGTAACTAGTGTAGTGAAATTACAGAGGCAGTGAACACATGGCGGTGTAGAAGATATCTCACGTGGAGATTGCTTGTGAGCTCGAATTAAAAGGGGGTAAGGGTTAACTTAAATCAGGGCATGCTCCCTGAGAAGAGATCAGTTGATCCCATTGGATGAGAAATGATAAATTGGACCAGAGTTGCATATATGGCCAAGTCGATAGCTTGATTATGCAACTGTGTTGTGATTCAGGGCATTTTTGGAGTCCTGAGACCCACTACTGTGCCTTGCGAAGACCTGTTATGGGGAGTGTTCAGCCATGAGAAGGTACTATCACCACCTTTAGATATTTGAAGCATAATCTTATTTCTTGTGTAAAACGTAAGAAGATTAGCTTAGATGATGCCCTGAAAGAGGATGAGAAGGGGCTGGTAGTGAGAAGATACTGGGAAAGAGCATTTAAATGGAGGCCACACAGCTGGTGCTCAAAAAAAAAAAAGGCAGTCCAGAGATTGGCATGTTCAGAAAATACGGGGGAGAAAAACCTCCAGTGTTGCTGAAACACAGCACTTGAGGCAAGAGTGACCGTACGTGAAATCAGAGAGGAGGTTGAACAGGTCATCGAGAGCCTTGGAGGCTATCTAGGGAGCTTAGATTTCATTCTAAGAGGCAGGGACGAGACACAATCAGATCTGCACTTTGCAAAGATTGCTTTGGCTTCTCTTAGAAAATAGACGTTGGGCCCTGGCTGATTTGGCTCAGCGGTTGGCCCCCAGACCAATGAGTCACAGGTTCAATTCTGGCCAAGGGTACGTACCTCGGTTGCAGTCCCTTTCGGGCGGGAGGCAACCAGTTGATGTGTCCCTCTCACATCAATGTTTCTCTTTTCCTTTCTCTCCCTCCCACTCTATCTGAAGAGAAATGAAAAAATATCCTCGGGTGAGGATTAAAAAAAGAAAATAGACTTTGGGTAAATAGAGGGGGACACACTGGCCACCACAGGGGTCTGATGAGACCAGGGTAGTAGCACTGGGGACAGAGAGGAATGATGGGTGTTCTCTGGAGGTGGACCCAGCAGGACTTGCTGATGTCGGCAGCTGGATTGAGAGAGAGAAGAAACCGAGATGACAGGCCTGGTTTTTGCATTGAGCAACCAAGTGAATGGTGCTGAGCACATACTGAGGTGGGAAGGACTGCAGTTCAGAAGTGGGGAGAGTTTTGTTTTGGTCAAGTAACTACTGAGATGTCTTTTAAACATCTAAGGGAAGATGTCAAACATCTATTTTACATATATGAATTAGGAGATCAGAGTGTCTTCAGAGTATAAATAACATTTAAAACCATAGGTTTAAAATAATGAGGTATCACTTCACACCTGTCAGAGTGGCCGCCTTCAACAAATCATCAAACAACAAGTGTTGGTGAGAGTGTGGAGAAAAGGGGACCCTAGTGCACTGCTGGTGGGAATGCAGACTGGTGCAGCCACTATGGAAAACAATATGGTGTTACCTCAGAAAATTAAAAATTGAACTTCCATTTGATCCCACTCCTAGGAATATACCCTAAGAAGCCTGAAACACCAATCAGAAAGAATATATGTACCCACTGTTCATAGCAGCACTGTTTACAATAGCTAAGATCTGGAAACAATCCAATGTCCATCAGTAGACAGATGGATAAAAAAAGCTGTGCTATGCCCTGGCCACTTTGGCTCAGCAGTTAGAGCATTGGCCTGCAGTCCAGAGAGACCCGGGTTTGGTTCCCGCTAAGGGCATGTACTTCGGTTGCAGTTTTTCCCTGGCCCTGGTTGAGTTGTGGGGGTGGCAGCCACTCGATGTGTCCCTTTCACATCGATGTTTTTTTCTCTCTCTCTTCTTCTCTCTCCCCTCCCACTCTATCTGAATAAAAAATGGAAAAATGTCTTCGGGTGAGGATTAAAAAAAAAAGCAGTGGTACATGTACACAATGGAGTACTATGCAGCTGTAAGAAAGAAAGATCTCTTATCCTTTGAGACAACATGGAGGGACCTGGAAAGTGTTATCCTAAGCGAAACAAGCCAAACAGAGAAAGACAAATATCACATGATCTCACTTATTTCTGGAATATAATGAACTAAACAAACTGATGAACAAAATAGACCCAGAGACATAGAAGTAGGGTACAGACTGACATTCCTCAGAAGGGGGGGGATTCCACAGAATTTATATGCAGGTGTGCATAACCAATGGACATGGACAACAAAGCTGGGGACGGGGTGGGAGGGGATAGGGAGGAGGGAGTCAGTGGGGGGAGAGGGGAGAAACATCTGTAACAAAAATAAATTAATAAAAAAATAATAATTGCAAAGGAGTGAGTACAGTTAAGAAATGAGGACTGGGGCATTAAAAACACGCAGAGGTCAGGAAGGCAGGGAGAAAGCAGCATAAAGAATCAGACGAGTGACCAGAGAGATAACAAGAACATTAGGATATGGTGGATTTCCAGAAATTAAAAAAAAAAAAGGAGTTTCAAGACTGAGTGAAGCATCATCTGTGTCTAATGCTTCTGGGAGACTAAGATAAAAGCAGAGGGTTGGATCTTGCAAACTGGTGACTTTGGAAAGAATGACCTCATCCATATTCCAAGTATAGATGGAGAAAAGGAGGAAGAAGGACCAAGACTTTTCGGAATCCTGCTCACTCTGTTTATGTGACTGACCAGAATTTGGTTATAGTCACACGGCTGTTAGGAAGGCTGGAGTGCACTGTGCTCACTGAAACTGGGGATTGCTTCATTCGAGAGAGAAGGGAAATCCGTGTTAAGGCAACTGGCAGATTCTACCAGAGAAGTAGAAGGAGGATCAGAGAAGGTTGCATTTTTCTAGTACAAAATGGAGATTCTAGGGAGAGTATAATTGTAAAAGAAATGCCTTTGAAGGCTAGCCAGGCAGGTGAATGGGTCTTTAGTGTCTGGTTCATCCACTGTACAGTGTGGTGTAGATGGTAAATGTGGTGGGTGAAGATGAGGAGTTCCTGTCTGAAGGAGCTTTTTTTTTTTTTTTTAACATAGTTTATTGATTTTTAAAGAGGGAGGAAGGGTGAGGGAGAGTGAAACTTCGATCAACTGCCCCCTACCAGGGACTGAGCCCACAACCCAGGTATGTGCCTTGACTGGGAAGCGAACCAGTGACCTCTTGGTGCCCGGGTGCTCAACCACTGAGCTACACCGGCCAGGCAGATGAGCTGCTTTTAAACAAAATAGGAAGCAAAAGGCATTGGATAGAGAATGAGAAGGAAGGCTGGTGAAAGTCTATAAAAAGAAGAGAAAGTGCTTACCTGTGGTTTTGCCAGTCGAGAGAATTGACATACCCCAGAAGCAGAGAAGGGGGAATGGCAGGTTGAACATTCATTGGAGATTTGGGGTCATGAATTTATGTGTATGTTTTCTACATCTGAGATTCAGTGTCTGAATGAAGGGAAGTTTAGATTTACATAGAGTTGGTTGTTAAAAATGTAACCTACTATCCAGTGTGGGTCGCCGAGAAGGGCTGTGAAGAAATCACATGGAAGTGAAAGGCGGAAGTGTGAAATTTCAGTTCACTTTTCCCCCATCTGGTAATGCTAATAATACTAGACGTGAACAGAATAGTG